CCTGCACTCGGCCACTCCTGCACCGGAAGCCGTTTCCCACGCTCCTGGGACAAAGTGACGGGGCCGTGACCTGGTTTTTAGGAACAAGGTGACCATGGGCCTCCTTCCTGTTTCTGGGGGGCGCGGAGCCTGGACGGCCACAGGGGACGGGACCTGAGAACCTTGTCGTCTCTTGTCCAGCAGATGGTTTTGTCCCTTAGTCTGTGGATTATGTGTCTGTGTGTGTACACGTGTGTGTACATGTGTCTGTGTGTGTACATGTGTCTGTGTGTGTGTACACGTGTGTGTACAGGGGTGGGCAAAGCAGGTTTATGTTGTGAGTCTGTGAAAGTTTATTTGTATATTTATTAATAAATTTATTGTATTATTTATTTGTATTATTTGTAAACCTACCTTCGCCCACCCCTGTATAACATGTGTACATACTATACGGAGCTGTCTTTCTTTATATTTAATTTTTTAAAGAAGTTTTAGGTTCACAGCAAAATTGAGGGCAATTTTGCGTGAAAACCTCTGGTAGAGGGCAGAAAGCACACAGAGTCACAGACAATCACTTTTGAAGGAGAGGAAAGAGCTCAGAAAGGTGTTTGAGAATGAGGGGCCCCATGTCCCCCTGGGCCCCCCATGCACAGCCTCCCCTACCATCAACGTCCCCCGAGAGGGTGCGCGTGTTACAGCCGATGAACCTACGTGGATGTCACCCCAAGTCCATGGTGGAGAGGAAGGGTCCCTCTTGGTGGTGCCCGTGCTCTGGGTCTGGACGGTGTGTAAGGACACGCACCCACACTGCAGCGTCACAGTTAGTGCTTCACAGGGAGGAGCAGGACCAAGCTCCCAGACGCTGGGAGGCAGAGGGACAGGCCCTGCTGCGGCCTCTCTGGTCCTGGAGGCCGTGTCGCATCCCGGTGTCGGCCTCTCCTCCTCTGAGTGAATCCCGCTTCTGCTAAGCCAGCCGCAGAGAGCCTGCTGTGGGTCGCCAGGCACACCCAGCGGGGGGCCCCTGTGCTGGCCTCACTGGGACCCCCACAGCAGGTGGGCGCTCACTGGATACGGGAGCTGATCCTAAGCTGCTCAGCCCAGACACCTGAGCCTGAATCTCGGGGCCTGGAGGCCGCCTGCCCGGCCTGTGGGCGGCCACGGCTCGCTCCCCGCCTGGAGCGGCCGACGGAGCGTGCGTTTTATTTTCTTGTTGCTGAGCAGGTCGTGCCCAGGTCCTTATTGACCTCACTGACCTTCAGAGCCGGGACACAGGTGACCTCTGGGCAGCGGCCCTCACGCCTGCTCAGCCAGGGCAGCACCTGTGCATGGAGATGAGGTTCGGGGCACTGACTGCTGGTGGCCGGGCGGCTGGACATTCGAGGCCTGGACCTCCCAGAGCCTGGGGGCTCGCCTCACCCCAGCCCTGTCCAGCCCTGTGCCCTGTCCTGCCGTCCATGAGCTGGCCTGCGGGGATCAGAGGCTCAGCCCGTCACGGCAGCTTGGGTATCGCGACCGAGTCCGACTGGAGACTTCTCATAGGTCAAGTGCAGGAAAGAGAGCTGACCTTATTTTAGAAACACAATGTCTCCAGCTTCTAAAGGTCCCATCAATATTCAAGTATGACTCTCCAGGACATAACGGAGTTAACAAGCTGAGGGCCGTGAGTCACTGAGTGAGTCATGGAGGGACCCGGGCAGGAGCTGGGAACGGTCTTTTTTTTTTTTTTTTTTTTTTTTTTTTTTTTTTTTTTTTTTCATGAGAGGGGAGGGGGGCAGGAGACGATTACATATGTGTCCATGAAACATCAATGAGAGAGAAACATTGATCAGCTGCCTCCTGCACGCCCCCCACTGGGGATATACCCATAACCAAGGTACATGCCCTTGACCGGAATCGAACCCGGGACCCTTGAGTTCGCAGGCCGACGCTCTATCCACTGAGCGAAACCAGCCAGGGCATGGGAACTGTCTTAATGCGATCAGGTGTGGCCTCTCTCCGAGGCCAGAGTGTGACCGAACAATCTGGCTTTCACTGAGGTCCCCACGGCCAGCCCGGCCCGCGGCACGGGACCCCTCCCACGGTGACCCAGAGGGAAGGCGGAGCTCGCGACCCCCACAGACAGGCTCCGAAGGAACCGCCTTTCCTCAGAGCCGCCTGAGCCGTCCGAGCCCCAGCCACGGCCTCGCTGATGCCTGTGAAATGAAGGGCGTTGCTCTGTCTCTAACAACTTCAGAAACTAAGGTCTTTGTTTCGGAAATAAGACAACCCACCGAGTGTGCCCCCTGCGGTTCAGGTCTGTGGGCTGGGGCTGTGTGGTCGTAAGTACCGTTCTTTGGCCACAAAGCTTCAAAGTCAGGGCTTACTTCCTGCCTTTGGTGTGTGAACACACTCCCCATGCCCCTCGCAGCGGCGGCGGCCTGTCCCCCGGACCGACACCCACAGTCCAGTCCGTCCCCTTCCGGGCGGCTCACGGCCGTGAATGGCTTCCGGTGAGAAACCAACGACACAAGAAGCGCAGTCAGCGTCTCGCTCCCATCACACGGCCTCAGGATGCACAGGCCCCTGACGCTACAATAACCCCAGGAGGCACCCGGGACGCCCGACACCCCGAGAGCGAGGCGTTCGGGAAGAGCTGGCGCCGGCGCACAGATGGGGTGCTCGCTCAGCCTTCACCCGGGGTCCCCAGTGCGGGGTCCACAGTGACCCCACGCCAGGAACTTCACAGAAAAATTCCTTTACGTTTGGCAAGAGAGCGACAGGAAGAGAAATTCAATTACTACTGTTAACTAAAAAATTGCATAAGTTTCTCATCTATTCATGTTTTTATGCAATTTCCTAGGAACCCCGGGGGCAGAGACTGTCTCCTTTAAAATCAAATTTGGCAATTACTTGAGCAAACACTGGATTTTTCTGGGAGGGAC